CCCTACACTCTTGATAATGATCTTTGATCACTAAAATTTTTGGTCAAGTCCAATTTATCTTAGATTTTTGTTGCCTGGGCTTTTGATGTTACATCCAATAAGTCATTGACTAATCTGGTGTCATGAAGTGTTTCTCCTGTTTCCGTCTAAGAGTTTTGTGATTTTAGCTGTTAGGCTTATGTCTATCCATTTTGAGTTAGTTTTTGTATATGGTATACTATCCCAACTTCATTCTTTTTCATATGGGTGTACAGTTTTCCCAGTACCATTTGTTGAAAAATACTTCTTCCCCATTGAATGATCATGACATCCTTGTTGGAAATCAGTAGACCACATATTTGAGGACTTCTTTCTGGGCTCTCCATTCTTTCTGGTCTATATGTCCTTATGGCAGTATCATACTATTTGATTAAGGTTCTAGTACGTTTTGACATCAGGATGGGACCTTCAATTCTGTTACTTTCCAAGATTGTTTTGGCTATTTGGGGACCCTTGAGATTTCTTCCATATGAATTTTAGGATGGCATTTCTATTCCTACAAAAACAGGATTTTGATAGGGATTGTATTGAATATACAGATCCTTTCAATAGTGTTATTTTTTTTAAAAAATAATGATTTTATTTAACTTTATTCATTTATTTATTTTAGTTTGACCAGAGAGGAGACAGAGAGAGAAAGAGAGAGAGGAAAAGGGAGAAAGCAAGCCGTCAGGTCCGGAACTCTACTCGCCATCGGCCATGTGGGAATCTAGCGCCCTTAACCACTACTCCACCTGCCGGCCCAATAGTGTTGTCATCTTAATCGTTGTCTTTGAATCAATGAACGTGATGTCTTTCCATTGATGTCTTTTTAACTTTCTTTCATCAATGTTTTGTAGTTTGCAGGATACAAGTCTTTCACTTCCTTGCATTTATTTAGTTATTTAGTTTGCTTATTTATTTGAGAGGTATCCTCAACCACATGGGGATTCCCCTTCCAGCCCTCTAGCCTACCAGGAACACAGGCACACCTGTGGGTGTGCTTGGATTGTTCAGGTTTACCCGGGATCCAAACCCTTAACCATTCCATATGGCTTTGGTATCACACAGCAGTGCTCTATTGCTTGTGCCGCTAAGTATTCTGTTTGATGTTACTGTAATTGGGATTGTCCTTAGTTTCCTTTTTGGAAGGTTCGTTTTTAATATCTAGAAATGCAACTGGGCCAGAAGGCGCAGTGGTAGCAACACTGATGCTGAACCCACATTCAGGAGTGTACAAGATACTAAGCCGAGTCAGCTTGGCTCTCCAGAGTATGTTCCGCAGCCTAGCCCGGTCTAGCGTGCGCAGATACTCAGTAAATGCTGCAAGAACGGAGCAACAAAGGGAGTAAGTGATTGACGAATGAATCGATGACCTCAACTCATCGATTTGTCCCACCCAGGACGGTCAGAGGGCGGGGCTATTACAGCCTCGCTGCGGAGGGCTGGGTGGGGCGTCCTGTGGCTCCGTCCACACGGGGATGGGGGCGGGGTCCACGGAGCTCCACCCACACGGGGCGGGGCCTGCGGCGCGCGGGAAGCAGAGCGCGCGCTGGCCAGAGGTAGTGGCGCGGGTGACTGACACTGTCTGCAGGTACGGCTTTCCGGGCTGGTCCCGCAGTTCTCCCAGTGGACCCGGGAGGGGCAAGGGGTGCTCCCTAAGGGCGGGCAGCTGGCGCCCAGCATGGCTTTGGAGCGGCGTGCGGGCGACGCGCTCCCGCCCAGACCCCGGCCCTGGGCGGCCTTCTCTGCTCAGGCCAGGTCCGGGTTTTCTGGGCCCGGCGCCGGGTCCCTGGAGACAGCGGAGGTGTCTCGCCCGGCGACCCTGGGCCCTGGTTCTTGCAGCTCCTCCTCTGGGAGACCCGTCCCCCTCCCTCTTCCTGAAGAACCCCTGCCCCCAGCCACACCCGCCCCGACCACTTCTCTTCTCCGGGTTCCCACTCTCGCTCCGGTCTCGGCCACTGGTTCCCCTGCCTGGGTCTTCCGTTCCCGGGGCAGTGACCTCCCGCCGCTTTTCTCCGACTGTTCCGGAGCGCCTCCCAACGTCCGCTAAGAGGAGGCGGGACGTGTAGCCGTTCCCGCAGGCCCCTGGGTTGCCTCTACCTGAGAGCTTCATTTTGTTTTTCGCATCTTAGGAGAATGATGAACCACCCAGCGGAACACTTTAGGTGGAACTTGAAATGTGTGCAAGTCAGAAGGCAGCTGCCATCCTTTCCCAATACAGCATGCATTTTTAAATGGCTAGCAGAGTTCCTGCTTCATATGAGCGCTCAATAGTTATTGTTACTTAATTCATTACCGGTAGCTTTCCTTTGCCTTTAGAAAGGGAACGCTGCCTGTTCAAGACTCAGGAGGATGAAAGTCATCACGTGTGAAATAGCCTGGCACAACAAAGAGCCGGTGTACAGCCTGGACTTCCAGCACGGGGCTGCAGGGAGGATCCACAGACTGGCATCTGCGGGGGTGGACACCGCCGTCAGGGTGAATTGGGGCACAGATAGACGGGGAAGCCTGCATGAAGCAGCACTTTTCATTCTTTTATTTAAAACTAATGCCAGGGCCAGCCGCATAGACTGACTGTTAAGGGAGCCAGATCCCACATGGTCAACCCCGGTTAGATTTCTGCCCTGAGGCTTGACAAATCTGGATTTTTGTGTACGGGTGCTCCAAATCCCCACAGGATGGAGAAATGGAGAAGGGATTGCAGTGTGACCATCCCATTGGGAATACTTTCACCCTCTCTCTCTCTCTGGCAAGCACTGGTGGCCTCTAGCAAATAAAAAAAGAACTAAAACAAATGCCAGCTTGTCATCCAGCCCAGAATGCCAAACCCTCAGGGATGACCGCAGAAGAGATGAGTTTCTTGACTAGTGTTCCCTTGCTGGTTGTAGCAGTGTGACCATTATGGTGCATCCCAGACTGGGTTCCTGTTAGATGACTGCTTTAGAAAGAAGTAGGAGGGAGCAGGCAGTGGGCTATTGGTTTATGTTTTAGATAGGAAAGGTTCCTTGCTTTTATGTTTCAAAAGAAAAACTAAATTTTCTTCCTGAAAATAAGCGAGGTATAATTTGAGTACAATCTACTAAGTCACTATGCTTTCTCAATGAATGTTTTTGGTATCACAGATTTGGAAGGTAGAAAAAGGACCAGATGGAAAAGCCATTGTGGAATTTTTGTCCAATCTTGCTCGTCATACCAAAGCTGTCAATGTTGTGCGTTTTTCTCCAACTGGGGAAATTTTAGCATCAGGAGGAGATGGTGAGTATTGTATTTCTTCTTCTTTTTTTTTTTTTTTTTGTCAGAGGGCACATGTCCTTGCCAAAGAGAGGAGGAGGGAGGGAGGGAGAGGATAAAGCATACCCCCTATGGAGAATGGTCACACCACAATCCTTTGTCCATTTTCCCCTCCTATTGGGATTTTTAAAAATATTTATTTTATTGTTTTATTTTATTATTATTATTACTCATTTTTATTAGAGAGAGATGCAGAGAGAGAAAGAGACAGAGAGGGAGAGTGAGTAAGCAAGCTGCCAGGTCCAGGAATTGAACCACAGTCAGCCATGTGGGAGTCCAGTGCTCTAATCATGACGCCACCTGCCGGCCCCCCTCCTATTAGGATTTGAGGCACACCCGCTACTTGTGTCTGGCTTTTTCTCAAGTCACCAGGTGTTAGAATTGTACTGTACAGTAAGTAGTTCATGTAGGATCTGACTACTTTAACTGCCTGGCCACAAAGCCAGCCCTAGAATTTCTTTATATGAATATGTAATTTCTTATATAAAATAGTGAGGTTTGAGGTGGGCATGAATTTCTATTTTAGATATCACTGAAGTGCTCAGTCTGTTATTTAGATGGTTTATAAAATAATCTTTTGGGGGAGTCCGTCAGAGTCGGGAGATGGAGGCTGGCAGGATTAAACTTGTTTGACAGCTGCTTCTCTCCCACTTATTCCCATCCTGCTCCTTTTAATACAGGTAGGAAGAGTGCTTGCTGTTCTGTCAGCATCCCCAGGCAACTGATCATGCTTGTTAGTAGGATGTTTTGGCGATGAGAGTCAGCTCTGTGTCTTTGTGTAATTAATTAGTTGGTTTTGGGAGTATCTTTAATGAACAGCCATATAATTTGTGCCTATTTAGTGAGGATAGATTAATTTATATATTTTTTTTTTTTTTTTTGAGGGGCTTTAGCTATAGGGCGCGTGCGCTCTCCAGAAAGACAGAGAGACAGAAAACGAGAAATCACCTCCCAGGGAGGATGGCCACGCCACAATCCCTTCTCCTCCATTCTCCTCTCGGGATCTTGGGCACGCACACACATGGCGCCCAACGTGAGTTTAAGCCGCTGGGTCCGGGACTTGAACCGTGGTTGACTATGTGGGATCCCGGGGTTTTAGCCACTATGCTAATTGCTGGTCCCAATCCATATTTTCTTGAAGAGGATAAAACTAGTAAACCAAAAAAGTAAACTTTTCTTTGCTATAGGGCATGTGTACTTACCAGAGAAACAGAGAGAGGCAGAAAGCGAGGGGGGAGATGGCTACGCAGCAGTCCCTTCTCCTTCATTCTCCTCTCAGGATCTTGGGCACACATGCATCTGTGCCCAGGGTGAGATTTAAGCCACCAGGTCCAGGACTTGAACCACTATTGACTACATGGGAGTCCAGCAGCATAATCATACCATCTGCTAGTCCAAAAAGTAAACTTTTTTTTTTTTTTTTTAGAGGGTTTTGATTTAGGGCGGCGTGCGCTCGTCAGACAGAGACAGAGAGACCGAAAGCAAGAAATCACCCCCCCAGGGGGGATGGCCATGCCACAATCCCTTCTCCTCCCTTCTCCTCTCGGAATCTTGGGCATGCACACACACACGCCTGGCGTGAGTTTTAAGCCACTGGGTCCAGTATGCGAACCACGGTTGACTACGTGGGAGTCCAGCGACATAGCCATTATGCTAACTGCTGGTCCCAGTAAACAATTTTAACTATACTTTTAAACAGTCTAGAAACCAGTTCAAAGTAAAACAGAAATCTCAGTTTTTGTTCATAGAAAGAAGAAGAGGCCTGGTTGAGTTCTGTGCCATTATGCCTAGAGACTGCACATATGCACGCGTGTGTGCTCTTGTGTGTAAAGGGTAAGGCAGGGAATACGAAAGTCACCAGGGGAGGCTGTAGGCTCTCTTCTATGAGTTTCCCAGGGCAGCTGTCGTTTTGCAAAATCTTTTGGCCTTCAAGGCCCAGGACCTTGCTTGTCAACATGGGGAATATCCATCTGTCAGGGCCTCTCATCCTAGCTGAGCTCCCAGACTGATGTGTGTAGCCAGGAGCCCAGTTCAGAGGGGGAAAGCCTATGTCCATATGACCTGCTCATTGGTTCACTCTCCACTCTCTTCCTGTGGACATTCCTAAAACAAAAGCCACGCCATGTTTAGAAGGATAAATGTTAAGGGACCAGTAGTTAGCGTAATGGCTATGTCGCTGTACTCCCACGTAGTCAACCGCAGTTCAAGTCCTGGACCCGGTGGCTTAAACTCACGCCGGGTGCATGTGCGTGCGTGCCCAAGATCCCGAGAGGAGAATGGAGGAGAAGGGATTGCGGTGTGACCATCCCCCCGGGGGGTGATTTCTCGCTTTCTGTCTCTCTGTCTCTCTCTGTCTGTCTGGCAAGCGCATGCGCCCTATAGCAAAAACCTCTCCAAAAAAAAAAAATTAAAAAATTAAAAATAAACCTCTCAAAAAAAAAAAAAAAGGTTAAATGTTAAACATGGAGTCAGAATGTGGGGCATTAGTAGACTCAGGCAACTGACTGTTGACATCAGGCTGCTGTGTCTGACGTGCTCATAGTGGTGTTAATATCAATGCTAACATTTACAAGGCTTACTGTGCGTCTGGCATCATGTTGTAAGTCCATTTAATCCTCACAACAGCCCTATAGAGTAGGTATTTTGTTATTATCCCCATTTATAGGTGAGGAGACAAGACTCTTAATATTAAGTGACTTGCTGAAGGTCACAAAGCTGGAAGCAATTTGCCAGCCCTTGCATTGGTGGCTCTTTGATGGTTTATTAACCTCTTATTCAACCATTTTTAGGTTATACCATAAGATTTGTTAATGTAGTCAGCACTTTGCAGTGGTATTTTGCTGACTCAGGGACCTTTCTATTTAAGATAACTTTGTATAGATCTAATCTGTTATGAGTTTGATTTTGGAGTTTTAGTTCAGAAAGCATACCTATTTTTCCTGTACAAATACCTAGAATCATCATGACCATAATGTCCACTGAATAACATAAATAGTCTAGTACCCTAAAAACCCAGAAAAAAAGGCGTATGCAGCAAAGCATGGCTTATCTTCCATTGACTCACTCCACAGATGCTGTCATTCTGTTATGGAAGGTGAATGATAATAAGGAGCCGGAACAGATTGCTTTCCAGGATGAGGATGAGGCTCAGCTGAATAAGGAGAACTGGACTGTTGTGAAAACCCTGAGGTACAGGGAGGGACACTGGGAGTGATTTATCTTTTCAATTTAAATGTGTTAAACAGTTCATGCCTCTTGACTTTACTGTCTCTCTAAAAGCTTTTGCTTAGGTGAGATAGTTATAAGACAGAACTTTTAAAGGGTAAAGACATGATTAAGATGAATCTTCTTAGTTTCTGCAGTAAGATTTTTAGTTTTCCTTAGTAAAAATGAACTCACTGTACACATACAGATATCTTCTTTTTAAAGCTTATTTCTGTATTTTTCCATGAGTGAGAGACAGAGAGAACACCTCCAACAGGGTCCTGATGCCATGACCCCATGGCCCACCCCTTACCTAAGCTACCCCCAGATCATGGACATGCATATACTCAGGGAGGCCTGTAGATGTGGACCTGTAACCTTCCCTTGCAGGTCAGCCTCACAGAGTGTGCATTTTACTGCTGCACCATCATCAAGTTCCCCAAATATCCTTGGAAGTAAATGTTTGTAGCTATAGCTGATATAGTGGAAATTTCTAGAATCCTACTCCAATGCAGACTCTTTGAATTTGTCCTTAAGTTTTTGAGAATTTTTCCCTTTTGGAGAGAATAATTTTCTTTTCCTGTTTGTACTCTTTGAATTCTAGAGGCCACTTAGAAGATGTATATGATATTTGCTGGGCAACTGATGGGAACTTAATGGCTTCTGCTTCTGTGGATAACACAGCCATCATATGGGATGTCAGCAAGGGTAAGTGGTATGTTTTTTATTATTCGGGCAGGGGTTATTGTCAGTGTCTTGAAAATCTAACCTGCTTTAACTTTAAAACCACAGAAATTCTTTAGTGAGCTAAAATAAGTGGTTGGCACAACAGGGTAGGAATTAGTATGCCTTGAATCGAATTCAGTATTTAGGGCCCTGTTTGGAATTTAGAAGGCTTAGCAGTGGTGTGAGTTATTGGCTGAAGCAAGGCTAATCTCATGTGTTTGGAGAAGCAGATGTAAAAGGACAGGCCTAGTCTCTGCTTTGTGGGGCTGAAGGTCTCGAGAAGATTAACAAGCTATTTTTATTTATTTATTTTTAGAGAGATTTTTGCTATAGGGCACATGTGCTCGCCAGAGAGACAGAGACAGAAAGTGAGAAATCACTATCCCTAGGGGAGATGACCACGCCACAATCCCCTCTCCTCCATTCTTCTCTGAGATCTTGGGCACGCACACACACACATACCTGGCATGAGTTTTAAGTCACCGGGTCCAGGAGTTTTAAGTCACTGGGTCCAGGACTTGAACTGTGGTTGACTATGTGGGATTCCAATGACATAACCATCACATAATCTGTTGCTCCCCCATTTTTAATTTTTATTTTAAAATTAAAAAAAATTTCTGTGTGCATGTGCTTGCCAGAAAGAGACAGAGATACAGAGGGAGAGGGAGAGAGAGAAAATACCCCCCAATGAGATGTGGTCATGCTACGGTCTCTTCTTCCTTTCTCTATCCTATCAGGACTTTGGACATTCTTACACATGGCACTCAGCATGTTTTTCTTTTTTTTTTTTTTAGAGAGATGTTTTGCTACAGAGCATGTTCACTTGCTGGAGAGACAGAGACAGAAAGCAAGAAATCATCCCCTGGGGAATGACCATGCCACAATTCCTTCTCTTCCATTCTCTTGGGATTTTGGCACACACACCTGGTATGAGTTTCAAGCCACTGGGTCTGGGACTCGAACCACTGTTGGCTACGTGGGAGTCCAGCAATGTAACCATTACACCATCTGCTGGTCCCTCATCATGTTTTTCAAAACTAGAGGGCTGTAACTCAAAATAATTGACCATGTGGGATCTGGCTCCCTTAACCACTAGGCAATGAGACTGGCCCATCATTTTTTTAAAAAATAGCATTTATACATCCATGAGAAGAGAGTGAGAGAGGAAAAGAGAGAGAGAGAGAGACAGGTTCTTTATACCTTAATCAGCCAGGATCATGGGCATACACTTGCACCCAACACGCACAGGAGGGTCTGGCCTACAAACCTGGGACCTTCTCATATGCATCTAGTTGTGTTACCACTGTACCACCATCTGGCCCTCAGAAGTCATTATTTTTTTTTCCCCAAAGAATTATTTTATTTAAATTAATTAATTAGTTTATTTACTTATACTTACATACATATATACATACATACCAGAAAGGGACAGAGTGAGAGAGAGAGGGAAAGTGAGAAAGCAAGCCACTAGGTCCAGGACTCGAATTGCAGTTGACCATGTGGGAGTCCAGCGCCCTTAACCACTATACCACCTGCGACCCCCAGAAGTCATTATGGTGGGGCATTAAATGCTAGTTTATAGGGTAGGTAGGATCCAGTTCCCATTTTAGGAATCAAGGAAAGTCAGGGACATTTCATTGCTTTTAAGAACCAGTCTTGGGAACCAGCAGTTAGCCTAATGGCTATGTTGCTGGACTCCCATGTAGTTGACTGTGGTTCGCGTCCCGGATCCGGTGGCTTAAAACTCACGCCGGGCGCGTGTGTGTGCATGCCCAAGATCCCGAGAGGAGAATGGAGGAGAAGGGATTGCGGCGTGACCATCCCCCCGGGGGGTGATTTCTCGCTTTCTGTCTCTATGTCTCTCTCTGTCTGGTGAGCGTACGTGCCCTATAGCGAAAAAACCTCTCCAAAAAAAAAAAAATAAGAACCAGTCTTTAGTTGGGGAGGTAGTAGACATGTAAGAAGTAGTAATGCTGTGAAAATAGCAGTGGAATGGCACAAACTAGTGATTAACTCCTGTTTGTACCCCCTGAAGACCTTTGCCCAAACTTTTTCTTTCCCCAACACCCTCCTCTTTCTCTATTCTCTGCTTACTTGTGGACTAATTCTCCCACCCGCAGTGCCTGGATAGGGGAGTTGCTCTTTGCCACTTCTGCAGCACTGCGTCAGTCCAGTTTTCATCTACCTCATCAATATCTCTATTGTTTTTAGTTCCATGCCATCCAGCTAAGCCATCCTCCATCCTACCTGACTCTGATATTCTTTCTCATCAGTCCTCAGTGTCACAGTCTTCTTGCCTACCCCACATCTGGCCATTGTCCTGGATAATTTCATTGTCCATGTGGACAATCCATCTCATACCCCCAGAAGCCAGTTGTAGTCCCCTTGCACACTGCCATCCTGTTGGGATCTACTGCAGGGAGTGGACACAGCAGGAACCAAATGTCTGTGTTCCAGTGCGGATGTCTGACAAGTAGGTATTAGTCCCTTACTCCATTTCCAACAGAAATACCTGAGACTGGGTGATTCCTAAAGAGATTAAGATTTATTAACTCACAATTCTGATAGCTAGAAAGTCCAAAGGTGTCCGCTTACAACATGACTGAGGGAAGCACAGGAATGCAAGTGTGTGCAGAGAGCGAGTGAGCTGTGGGCAGTTCTCTCTTTTCTGATAACCAGCTCTTGGAAGAACTAACCCCTTTATGAGAGCTAGAATTCACTGGGTCTTACAAGGTTCCATTCATCTATTCATGAAGACTGTTGCCTCCGTGATGCAGTTGCTATGATCCCGTCACTAGCCATTTGGCCACACCACCCAACATCAAATTCCAAAGCATGAAATGGGTTCAAACCATCATCCAATCATCCAAGTCATAACATAACGTCAGGTAGTGATAAATGCTTTGAATGGGCCATTAGGGAAAGCTGCTCTGAGCATTTGTCATTTGAACTGGGGCGAATGAAGTCAGGGAGCAAGCCATGTGTATTGTTTCGGGAAGTGTGTGACAGCCTGTTCGAACAATAGGTGCAGAGGTCCTAAGGCAGGAGCTGCTTCTGTGTCTAAGGAGCAGGATAGACTAAATGAGGGACGGGTGGGAGTGCTCTCTAGTTTGTGCTCGAGTAAGTTTGGATAATGCTATTGTGTACTTTTTTTTGTAGGACAAAAGATTTCAATATTTAATGAACATAAAAGTTATGTACAAGGAGTAACCTGGGATCCTTTGGGTCAGTATGTTGCTACTCTGAGCTGTGACAGGTACATTAGTATTTGTATTTCCTTCGAATTTTCTGCAGAAATATTTTTATCACAACTTAATCGAGATAAATCATAGTCTAACTTTGATTCTTTTGTTCTTGTTTTTTATACTCATATTATTACAATATAATAAGAAATTGCCTACTAGGGTATGTACCTTGTGTGAAGTTAGTAGTTTTATCAAATTAATATTAGTGAGTGGGTGAATAAATATAGAAAGAGCTTTCTAACAGCAAATAAACTCTTGGTTACATTTGATTTCAGGAGAGACTTAAAGTCTTTTTTTTCCCCCATAAGAGAACCCACATTGGGGCTAGCAGGTGGCGTGGTGGTTAGGGGCGCTGGGTTCCCACATGGCCGACTGTAGTTCGAGTTCTAGACCTGGTGACTTGTTTTCTCACTTTCTCTTTCTCTCTCTCTGTCTGTCAAATTAAAAACTAATAATAACAAATGGACTTTAAATAAATAATAATTTTTTTTTTGGAGAGGTTTTCGCTATAGGGTGCGTGCGCTCGCCAGACAGAGAGAGAGACACATAGAGACAGAAAGCGAGAAATCACCCCCCAGGGGGGATGGTCACGCTGCAATCCCTTCTCCTCCATTCTCCTCTCGGGATCTTGGGCACGCACACGTGCCCGGCGTGAGTTCTAAGCCACCGGGTCTGGCACGCGAACTGCGATCGACTACGTGGGAGTCCAGCGATATAGCCATTACGCTAACTGCTGGTTCCCAATAATTCTTTTTTTTAAAAAAAGAGAGAGACCCACACCAAAACATGGATAAATCTTTTTAAAAAATAATTATTTATTTATTTATTATCATCATTCTTTATTAATTTGACTAGAGAGATACAGGCAGAGAAAGAGAGAGGGAAAGTGAGAAAGCAAGCCACCACATCCAGAACTTGAACCATGGTCGACCATATGGGAGTCCAGCACCTTTACCACCATGCCATCTGCTGGTGCCAATAAGTCTTTTATAAATACTACTTAAACAAGAAGAGGTAGTAGGAGAGTTGGACTATTTTTTTCATTTTTTTTAAGAGAAATTTTTTCTATAGGGCACGGGGCTCACTGGAGAGACAGAAAGTGAGAAGTTACCCCTCAGGGGGAAGGCCACATCGCAATCCCTTCTCCTCCGTTCTCTTGCTAGGATCTTGGGCACACTTGCACACGAGCCTGGTGTGAATTTTAAGCCACCAGGTCCAGCACTCAAACCGCAGTCTACTACATGAGAGTCTAGTGATGTAAACAATTATGACATCTGCCGGTCCTAGTTTAATTTCTTGATTGTAGTTTACTGATACAGTGATTTTAATGACACCACTTAAATTTATATAAAAATAAAACCGTCTTGGGAACCAGCAGTTAGCGTAATGGCTATGTCGCTGGACTCCCACGTCGTTGACCACGGTTCGTGTCCCGGACCCGGTGGCTTAAAACTCACGCCGGGCGCGTGTGCGTGCGTGCCCAAGATCCCGAGAGGAGAATGGAGGAGAAGGGATTGCGGCGTGACCATCCCCCCTGGGGGGTGATTTCTCGCTTTCTGTCTCTATGTCTCTCTCTGTCTGTCTGGCGAGCACGTGCGCCCTATAGCAAAAACCTCTCCAAAAAAAAAAAAATCGTCTTTTCTGAAAGGAGGTCTTAGCTGCATTTAACTGATATAATTGCATTTAACTGTATTCTTGGAACAGTGTTTAAACAAAAATTAAGGTATACTATACCAGGTATACTATTTAACAGAATATTCCTTTTTGAATATTTATCTGCTGCTTTTAATTAAGATATAGTGAATTTAAGATGGCCCTGGGATAAAAGCAATATGGGACAGTTACTGTTTCATAGAGCCTCCTGTCATATTCTAAATGCCAATTATTTTCTGATATGTGTGTTTTATTTAGTAATCGGAATCTTATGGCTTCTGGCTAAACAATTTACTTGCTGATGTTTTCCATATTGTAAATTAATGGGAGAGAGACTGTTCAACACAAAGTACGTTTCACTGCGTCACACAGATTGCCACTGGGCAGATGGCCTTGACCTGAAAAACAAGGCCAGGCCTGAAGTAGGTTTTCCTTGAGAACTTGAAGCATTCAATGAAAAATGAAAAATAAATAAAAATAAAATTATGACTTATTTTCCCACTGCAGTATCCTTTAGGTTATTATTATTTATTTTTTTTGGAGAGGTTTTTGCTAAAGGGCGCGTGCGCTTGCCAGACAGACAGAGAGACAGAAAGCGAGAAATCACTCCCCAGGGGGGATGGCCACGCCACAATCCCTTCTCCTCCATTCTCCTCTCGGGATCTTGGGCATGCATGCACACACGCCCAGCGTGAATTTAAGCTGCCGGGTCCGGGACTTGAACCGCAGTCAACTACGTGGGAGTCCAGTGACATAGCCATTACGCTAACTGCTGGTCCCTCCTTTAGGTTATATTTTAAAAATAATTTTTTAATTTAACTTTATTTATCTACTTATTTATTTATTTACATTTGACCAGAGAGGAACAGAGTGAGCGAGAGAGAAAGTGAGAAAGCAAGCCACCAGGCCCAGGACTCGAACTGTGGTTAGCCCCATGGGTATTCAGTGCCCTCAACCACTATGCCACCTACCGGCCTCTCCTTTAAGTTATTAATATTTGCTTCTGCTGTCAATACTCCATGAAGTCTGAATATCATTGGTAAACGGTTTTGCAGGTGAAAAATTGCTGAGGTGGTCTTCAGTTTTGGTAATAGAATGTCTCTGTGTGAAACATAATTCATATAGCAGAAGTGACAAATGAGACTGTTCTTTCTTTAGGGTGCTGCGGGTATATAGCACACAGAAGAAACGCGTGGCTTTCAACGTTTCCAAGATGTTGTCTGGAATTGGAGCTGAAGGAGAGGTATGGGATATTTGGACATCCCCTGTCATGCGGTCTTCTTATACCCTTCCAGCTAAATCACTGACTCCTGGACCTAACCCGTGAACTGCAGTGAGACTTCCTCTGGCCAGCCCAGGGTCAGTTGGTGTGGTGGGCTGGTCTGTATGGAATGGGCCATCTGGGACCAGGGGAGTGCTAGTGATAGAGAATAAAAGGTTCAAGGTTAGGAGCCAGTGCTTCTAACCCTGGCTACGTTGTGGAATTGCCTGGGAGGCATTAAAGATGTGGTACCTGGACCCTGCCTCCAGTGGTGTATTCACTTGGTTTGAGGCAGGCAGGGTTTCCATGATTATCCAGGTAGCAAGAATCAATTACTATTGATCTGGAAAGACCCCTGCACTAGGCAGCAGAAGATAGGGAGGTCAACCACTAGATCTGTCTGGCAGTAGGCAGTATGCCTTTTTGGCAAGTAAATAGAGCACCCTGCTGGCGGACAGTTAAAGGGCTGGTGCTGAGGAATAAGAAGGATTTTGATCTTTGAGAGAATTGGCGATGGAAAATAGGTCCCTAGTCCTGGAAGGACTGAAGCGACTGAGGCAGACGCTTAGGTGAAAGGGGGCCAATCAGTTACTAGAGCAACTGAGGGACCTGGTTCAAATTGAGACCTGGCATGCAGGACATGAGGTTTACCTGTGAGCTGACTGGTACACTGTAGAGGTCACATCTGTAAAGTAAGAATTCCTGGTTCCTTGGCTTCTGGAGAACTACGTACTTAGTGTTTATAAAGTGTGAATGATAGCAAACATGCCACAGAGGTGTTCAAGAAATGTTAAATTACCCATTTAACAATCCTGTGGGGTTTTTTTGTTTTTGTTTTTTTTAAGAGAGTTGTTTGTTTGTTTGTTTGCTATAGGGCATGTACACTCACCAGAGAGACAGAAAATGAGAAATCACCCCCCAGCAGGGATGGCCACACTACAATCATTTCTCCTCCATTCACCTCTCCAGATTTTGGACACACACATACGTGCACCAGTGTGAGTTTTAATCCGCTGGATCCAGGACTCGAACCACAGTCAACTATGTGGGAGTCCAGCAACATACCTATTATGCGATCTGCTGGTCCCTCAACAATCCTGTATTCCTTTTTAAAAAGTGTTCATTCAGTTGGAAATTTTAAATGTATATACAGGTAAAAAGCAGAAGTCTCCTAGTCATCTTCCTGCAGTCTCTCAGTCTTAACCCCTAGACAAACCACTGATGACAGTTATTTTTACAGAGTGTTTAAAAATAATTATAGAGGGGCTGACAGGTGGTGTGGTGGTTAAAGGCACTGGACTCCTACATGGCTGACCACAGTTCAAGCCTCGGACCTGGAGGCTTGCTTTCTTACTTTCCCTCTCTCTCTCTCTCTCTCTGGTAAAATTAAAAAAGAATAGTAATAAATAAAATTAAATAAATAATTCTTTTAAAAAATAAAAACAGGTGTAGAACCACACACACAGATACATACATATAGCTTTTATCAAAAACAGGTGATCAGTTCTCATGAGTGATTACTGTTATAATCCTGCCTAATTATTTTATTTGTAATATGTTACATTTATTATTGTCTCTAATAAATGGTAATATTTTAAGGAAAAAATAGGAATTGGTTAGCCTTTATTGTGAGTATAAAGATTTGGGATAATATTTAAACTTTGTGTATTTCAGGCAAGAAGTTACCGGATGTTTCATGATGACAGCATGAAGTCCTTCTTTCGTAGACTCAGTTTTACTCCTGATGGATCTTTGCTCCTCACTCCAGGTTTGTTTAATGGTTTTTAATTTAAGAGCACAGTTGAGGAATGGGAACATCTGTGTTCATGTTTTATGATGCTTTTTAGCTCTGTGAATTTTTTTTTTGTTGTTATTTTTAGTTGCTAGAGAGTGCATGCATATGTTGGAAAGAGGGAGATGGGAAGAGTGAGAAAGCATCCACAGTGGGGTTGGTCACAATGCAACCCTTTCTCTTCCATTTCTCCATCCTGTTGGGATTTGGGACACATATGCACATGTATCAAGTGGCTTCCCTGAAAATAAAATGATTAACCCAATTAAAAGATGGAAAATGAGCTGAACAAAAAACTCTAAGGAAGACATACGAACAGCCAAGAAGCATATGAAGAAATGCTCAACATCCCTCATCATAAGGAAGATGCAGATTAAAACCACAATGAGATACCACCTGACCCCTGTCAGAATGGCAAAGATTAAAAGTACAAAAAATGATAAGTGTTGGTGGTGTTGTGGTGAAAGTGGAACTCTCCTACACTGTTGGTGGGAGTGTAAATTGGTCCAGCCACTGTGGAAAACAATATGGAGGCTCCTCAAAGACCTACAAATAGAGCTACCACATGATCCAGCCATTCTACTCCTGAGTACCTACCGAAAGGACAGGAGAACGCTCAGTCAGAACAGTACTTGCACGTCTATGTTTATTGCAACATTTTCACAATTGCTAAGGCATGGAACAAATTCAAATGTCCACGAACAGATGAATGGATTGTAAAGGTGTGGCACACACCCCACGGAACACTATTCAGCCAGGAAAAAAATAATACCCTGGCATTTGATAGAAAGTGTATGAATGTGGGAGATTTATTGCTGAGTGAAGCAAGTCAGGCTATAAGAGAGAGACATTGTATGTTTCCACTTAAGTGATTATCTGCACTCTACGGTAGAGACGGAAAGATTGGAAGACATGAAAGTATTGAAAATAGTTATGGACAGTGGAGACAGTGTGGAAGGAAGGCGGGAGAGGGGAAGAGTGTAGAGAAGAAAAGAAGGGATTAAAAATAGAGAGGTAAGACATTTGTGGGACACAGATTATTACCTATTTATAACGTGTGTAATATTCTCAAAAAGAAAGAAAGAAAAAAGGATTCGATACAAGGTTTGGGACCAGCAGGTGGTGTGGAGATTAAGGCAACTGGATGCCATATGGCCAACTGCATAGTTCGAGTCCTGGACTCAACAGCTTGAAAAACATGCCAAGTCTGTGTACATGCCTATCTGAAAATCCCAAGAGGAAAATGGAGGAAAAGAGACTGTAGGTGACTAGTCCCCCTGGGGGGTGATTTCTCAGTTCCCCTCTCTCTCTCTGGTGAGTCTATGTATCCTCTAGCGAGCTAAAAAAATATTTTTTTAATAAGGTAAATTGATATTATATTGGGTTGTTGAAAAGTTATGGCGCATTTTTATATAGAAAAATATGCCATGACTTCTGACAATCCAATAAGGTATATACAAATCTATTTTCTTTTCTTACATATCGGGGGCGGGGGGCTCTTTAAAAAGTTCATGGGAAATTCATATCATGAAAAAATTATGTATGGATTTCAAATGTTTTACACCAAAATAAACTCATACTTTAATTTGATTTTTCACTTTTTATAGTCCCCTTATTGGGACCAGCAGTTGGCGTAATGGCTATGTTGCTGGATTCCTATGTAGTCGACCACGGTTCAAGTCCTGAATCTAGTGGCTTAAACTCATGCCAGGTGCGTGTGCATGCGTGCCCAAGATCTCGAGAGGAGAATGGAGAAGGGATTGCGGCATGGCCATCCCCCCAAGGGTGTTTTCTCGCTTTCTATCTCTCTGTCTCTCTGTCTTTCTGGTGAGCGCATGCACCCTATAGCAAAAGCCTCTCCGATACTACTACTACTACTACTACTACTATAGTCCCCTTCTAATAGCAGTAAGTACTTAGAAATGGAGAGAGGAAAAATGTTCCATTTATAGTAGTATAAAGGTGTGAAATAGATGAAAGTACTTTTAAGAAGAAAGATGCAGGGTCTTAATGAAGAAGACTAGAAGGTATATTAAAGGTTGTAAAGCCAGTTCTGAATAAATGGGAAGATGTATTATGTTCTAAAAATTAACTCTGGTGCTGGAGGTGATGTGGTGGTTAAGATGCTGGTTAGAGTCCCAGACCTGGTGGTTTGTTTTCTCACTTTCTGTCTTTCTCTCTCTCTGTCTCTCTGATCAAATGAAAAAAAATAAAATAATAAAATTAAATTAATTATTCTTTTAAAAAAAATTAACATACTAATTTAATTTTCAGTTAAAATCCCAATAGAGACTTTAAAAAAGGAATGAAATCTTAGTTTCTTTAGTAGAATAAGTGCTAGAGAATAGCCAAGGAAGTATGAAAAATATAGAATAGGGACCTGCAGTTAGCGTAACGGCTATGTTGCTGGACTCCCATGTAGCCGACTGCGGTTCAAGTCCCAGACCCGGGGGCTTAAATTCCCGCT